TGAGGTGAGAGAATTGCTTGACCCTGGGAGGTGGAGGTTGCAGTGAGCTGAGATCTCCACTGCACGCCAGCCTGGGTGATAGAGACAGGGTCCTATCTCAAAAAAAAAAAAAAATTTAAGGAAAGCAAAACTGAGAACAAATAAATAACTGTTTCCTAAAGGCCACTTAATGATAAAGTAGATACACAGAATGGCTTGATCTTTCATAGTCTCTGAGAATCATCCATTGCTTTGACAGCCTTTCAGCCCAGCTCCTGCACTCTGGCCAGGTGAAGTCAGCGGAGGTGCAGATGTGGGCAAAACCTCTGCAGCAGCATTTGACAGACCATGCCCTGACCCACATGGTCCCAGTCCAGCCAGGCTCATAAGAGACACAGCAGAGGAGCAGGGATTGGCATCTGCTCCTCTGGGTATGAAAGCTGGTGTGTTTCCTAAACTTTGTTTTATATATATATATATATATTTTGTTTGTTTGTTTATTTGAGACGAAGTCTCACTTTGTTGCCCAGGATGGAGTGCAGTGGTGTGATCTCCGCTCACTGTAACCTCTGCCTCCCAGGCTCAAGTGATTCTCCCACCTCAGCCTCCTGAGTAGCTGGGATTACAGACGCCTGCCACCACGCCTGCATAATATTTTTCTTTTCTTTTTTTTTTTTTAAAGTAGAGATGGGGTTTCAGCATGTTGGCCAGGCTGGTCTGGAACTCCTGACCTCAAGTGATCCACCCACCTGAGCCTCCCAAAGTGCTGGGATTACAGGTGTGAGCCAACGTACCTGGCCCATATTTAGTTTTTCATTTAATGATTTCACCTTCAAGCTCACTTCCTGGCTTGCATTTTCCATTTGATTTGTAGAAGAAACTAGATTTACCTCCAATACTGTTAACTTTTTTTTTTTTTTTTGAAACAGAGTCTCCCACTGTCCAGGCTGGAGTATATTGCCGTCATCATAGCTCACTGCAGCCTTGAACTCCTGGGCTTAAGCAATTCTCCCTTCTCAGCTGCCAAAGTAGCTGGGGCTACAAATGCATGCTACCATTCCCGGCTAATTTTTTAAATTTTCTATAGAGAGACAAGGTCTTCCTATGTTGCCTAGGCTGGTCTTGAACATCTGGGCTCAAGTGTGACCAGCCTGCATTGGCCTCCTAAAGTGCTGGTATTATAGGCGTGAGCCACCACATCTGGCATATTAATTTCTTGTAATGCCTGATATATATATATATGTATATATTTGTATATATGTATATATTTGAGACGGAGTCTTCTCACTCTCTCGTCCAGGCTGGAGTGCAGTGGCAGGATCTCAGCTCACTGCAACCTCTGTACACCCCCGGGTTCAAGCGGTTCTCCTGCCTCAGCCTCCCGAGTAGCTGGGATTACAGGTGCCTGCCACCATGCCCTGCTAACTTTTGTATTTTTAGTAGAGATGGGGGTTTCACCATCTTGGCCAGGCTGGTCTTGAACTCCTGACCTTGTGATCCACCCTCCTCCGGTGGGTGCTGGGATTACAGGTGTGAGCCACTGCGCGTCGCCTGTTTTTTTTTTTTTCCCCCCGGATGTTTCTACTATTTTTTTCATTGTCCTGTTTTAGTTTACCTATATGCTTTTCTAAGATTGATATTCTCTCCTTCAGGTGTCTGACTGCCTGACTCAAAAGCTCATTTTTATTCATTTATTAGTGAGATTTTCTCTCTAAGAATGTAATTTACTACTTTTGGATTTGATGAAAAGGTTTTTTCCTCTAAAGTAACCTGCCTAAGACATTTTGTTTCTCCTTCAGCTGCTGAATTTCTGAATGCATTTATTTATGTTCTTTTCTTTCTAGCTCTGAGGTGGCAGCAATGGAATGAGACAGTCTCTGATTGTCTCCTTGGAGGGATCTAATGGTTGCATCTTTTTCCTGCAGTGATTTTCTTAGCTCTTCAATACCTTGGAGTAATTTAGAAGACTCACTCGATAGAGGAGACTCACTTGCATAAAGAGACTCTGCGGCATGTGAAGAAAGTGCTTCTCTGGGGAGCTGGGGTAAAATATCCAACTGTGGGAAGAGATTGTCCTTGCTGCGCGATGCTGTGCTGCGTGTGTGCTAACTCCTGCCCCGGGTTTTTGAGTTGAGTTTCATTCCCTTCGGTTTTTTGGATCAGGTCACCATGGTTCATCTGAAGTTTAAAATCATGATCACTGTCAGTTAAAAGCTTTGTTTGAAGGTGAGAAAGTTCTTCGTGGAGTTGGACTGCCCCATCCTGCGCCCACTGTGGTCACCAGCTGCTCTTTCCATTTGCTTTTTTTTTTTTTGAGATTGAGTTTCATTCTTGTCACCCAGGCTGGAGTGCAATGGTGCGATCTAAGCTCACTGCAACCTCCGCCTCCCAGGTTCAAGCGACTCTCTTGCCTCAGCCTCCCAAGTAGCTAGGATTACAGGCGCCCGCCACCATGCCTGGCTAATTTCTTTTTTGTATTTTTAGTAGAGATGGGGTTTTGCCATGTTGGCCAGGCCGGTCTCAAACTCCTGACCTCAGGTGATCCGCCTGCCTCAGCCTCCCAAAGTCCTGGGATTATAGGCATGAGCCACCGCAACCGGCCCACACTTCCATTTTCTTAACTGGCTGTTTTAATTTATTAGGTCCTTGTGGAAGCTCCTCAAATGGATTACCGTTAACACTTCCAATCTCATGACCAATGCTGGATGCTTGCAAAATTGTCACTGAAGTCTGACATTTCTGACTGAATGCATCTGTTTCAATGTCTTTTTCTAGAATAAGACATGATGACTTCTGAACAGTGTCTTCACATTTCTCCTGACCATTACTAGTGGACAGTTTTTAATTTTCCCCTTGCAGCTTGTGGAGGCCTGCTTCATTGTCAGCAATGATATCCACTGTCGGCAATGATATCCACTGTTTGGTGATCCTCCTTTTTGAGACAGCTACTTTCTTGAGCCGCCTTATTCCAAACAGTCTATATTTGTTCTTTGTCCAAAGCAGGTGCTTGCAGTTGCTGCTGAAGGTGAGCAACACGCTGGGTGTCAGAGGCCGAAGCTGTTCTAGTCTGAAGGCCCTGCAGCTCCATATCTTCCTGACCCACCTCATTGATGGACAGCTGATCCATTTGTTTAGTTAAAGTCACATTATTTTTACTTACACATTTATTCTCCAATTCTTTCCACCTCTGGTCCTTGATTCAGGATTAATCTCCAATTCTTGCTCTTTCATTCCTTTCACTAATCTTTCAGTTTCAGATTCAAATAAACTATGCGTTTCACTTCTGTTTTCTATATTGGGACACTCAACTTCTGTGGCTTGAAAAATAGCTCAGAGTCTTTGAATGTCTTGTCCTGTTTCATGCAGCTGAGTTTTGATTCCAGGCTAGTCTCAAACTCCTGAGCTCAAGTGATCTTCCCATCTTGACCTCCCAAAGTGTGGGATTACAGGTGTGAGCCACCGTACCTGGCCCCAGAAGATAATTTTTGTTTCTGTCTTTTACTCTGTGTTCAAATTCTTCAATTTTTTGGTAGACTCTACTTTTTCAATTTGTAGAGCTTGCATGAATAGTGTTTTCCTTCTCTTGAAGTTTAGAGAGATCAGGTACTCCAATTCCTGAGCCACCTTGCTGTAACAAATTTTCCAGTTCTTCAATCTTTTCTTCCTAATTGCTTAGATTTTCTTGATGCTTACTACTTATTTCCCTCAATTTACATTGATGAACATTCTATAATACTGATAATTCAAGTTGATGGTCATCAGTATCCTGACTTCTTTTTTGTTTGAGCTCCTCGATGGTATTAATATTTGGTGTTTGTAGTTTGTAGATTTCATTTTCATCAAAACTAGTTGTTCCTTCTATTTTATAAGTCTGAGCAATACACTTCCAGTGGCCAACTGGAGACTCAAGTTTTAGAACTTCATTGGACAATCTGTTTATTTCTTGTTATGATGAAATTAAGTCATAAAAACCCATGTAATTATCGTGGAACACTGAAGCATGATGTGTACCACATGGAATGGAGGGGATGCAGTGTGGATGGGAACCTCCAGCCTTCCCTGAATGTGCTGACTCCAGGGCTGGCTGCCAGTCCTCCAACTGATCCAGCAGTGCTTGCTTTCTTGCTTGAGGAAGGCTCATTGCTACCTTTCTGTTGTAATTGATGTCGACAACGTTTCGTTTGCTGCCATATCTGAAGCTCTGATGCTTCCTAGGTCTCTCCTAGGTCACTACAAAGATCTTGAAGTCCCTCATTCTCTGATATTAAGAATTCCAAACTGGCATCAGTCTCCTTTATCTCATAGTTAGGGAACTCTTCCCTTTTCCTATGACATTCAGGAGCACATTTGAGATGTGGCTGATGGAAGAAGCCACATTGCTGCCCATCCACCCCAAGGAATGGGCTGAGCTGGAGCCAAGGCCACCAAACCAGGAAGACATGAGTGTGTTAGCACGTGTGTTAAGGAAAACACACATTGGCCTTCATTTTTTTTTTTTTTTTTTCGAGACAGGGTCTCACTCTGGTGTCCAGACTGGAGTGAAGTGGCGCCATCTCGGCTCACTGCAACCTCCACCTTTCGGGTAAAAGCGATTTTCCTGCTTCAGTCTCCCGAGGAGCTGGGATTACAGGCGCCCACCACTACGCCCAGCTAAATTTGTATTTTTTGTAGAGACAGGGTTTCACCGTGTTGGCCAGGCTGCTCTCGAACTCCCGACCTCAAGTGATCTGCCGGCCTCGGCCTCCCAAAGTGCTGAGATTACAACGTTGAACCACTGCGCCCTGCCAGAAACAGATTTTCATACGTTGAAATAAACGAGAGGGTGGTCGGGCAACGTTGGGGTAGGGGAGGCCAGGCGGAGGAGGCCCAGTGGTCTCCTCGCCCGGAGCCTTCTAGCTCTTTGCCGGTGTCAAGTAGGCACTGTTAGCCTCGGCTCCGCTCGACTCGGCTCTACTCGGCTCAGCTCGGGTCGGCCAGACTTAGAGGGCGGGCGGGCGGCGCCACTGGAAGTGACGCGGCGAGGGCGGGGCCGCCGGCTGGGGGAGCCGCCGCCGCCGCAGCCGCTTGGGTCGGGAAGCGATGTAGTAGCTGCCAGGCTGTCCCCCGCCCTGCCCGGCCCGAGCCCCGCGGGCCGCCGCCGCCACCGCCGCCATGAAGAAGCAGTTCAACCGCATGAAGCAGCTGGCTAACCAGACCGTGGGCAGGCGAGTGCGCCGGGTCGCACGGGGGTCGCGCCGGGGCTGGGGGCGGAGGGCGGGGGGCGGGACGGCTCCTCCTCGGTCCGGCGGCTCTGAGCTGGGCCGCAGCCCCGCCCGAGACCAGCGGGGCACGGGCCCGGGGGCTGCGCCGCGCTGAGGCCCGAGCGCCGCGCTCCAGGCGGCCCGCCTGTCTCCCAGCGCAGCCGGGCCCCCGAGACCTTCTGGGGCGGGCCGCCGCCTCCTCCGCCACCCCGTGGGGTCCCCTGCCCATTGTCCCTGCCCCGGGAGCATCGCCCTCGGGGAGTAGACCCGGTCCTTCTCCTCCCTTCCCGGGGGCCGAGCCAGCCCGGATCGCTGCCCTGGGCTCAACAACGGTGACTTCTGTCCCTAACGCTGTGTCGAGCGCTGTGCTGTGGGGGGCGGCATTCCCAGGCTTTCCCGGTGCTCTCGCTGTTTGCAAGTCCTTCTCCTGTTAAGTGCATGGCGGCAAGAAATGGCTAGGGGGACGTGAAAGCCAGTCGGATTTGCTCATTGAGTTAAAAACGCCCTTTGAGGGAATTCGGAGGTGGTGCTGTCTCAAAACCAGGGCTCCTAGGAACTGGACTGCTGCTGCCAGTTCTTGACATTTAGAAATTTGGAATTGGCAGAAAAGTATTATGGAGACGCCTTGCGCCAATTTAAAAAGTCTCCTTTGCTACGGCTGAAGTGCTTAACAAGAAACGTTATTGATTATTAAATGGCAGAGTTGGTAGATCAGGTTGTCAGAACAAGAAATGATTTGTGGTTTTTGAGAGTTTCTGGAGGTGACTGTCATGTGCCGTATTATCTGCGGCTAGTATTTCAAGGTCTTTCAGGGCAGCTGGCTGTACTGTACCGATTTAGTGTTTATTCAGCAAAGAGATATGAAAGTATGAATTTTTTACAGCTCTTCTTTTGTTTTTCGTTTTTTAACAGTTAAGGGGAGTTTGGTTTGGCTGAAGCACGTGGGACACTTCTTTTTTCTGAGTGTATGAAAATACTTTTACTTCCTCAAGACTTTTCTAAATTTGCTTTTTACTGTTTCATTTCCTCCATCTTTTTGCTTAGTTTCCTTGTTTAATTTTTTCGATTCCCTACCGTGTTATTCTGGTGAGAATTAACTCTTATTTGATCCCTGCCCGTAAAACCCAGACAAACCTACTTTTCTGTTATTTGCAGGAAAGTTAAAGAAATAATGCTGAGAGGAAGGTAAACACGTGTGGTAATGGCGGCTGATGTTTCAAGGAACAATTTATAAACACATGATACTTTCTTGTGAGTTTCATACCCTTGTTAGTGTTCTGAGCAAGGTGCATTGTGGAACTAGTATTTAGTAAGTGCCAAGATACGTTTGTCAGATAGTCAGTTTGGCCTGTTTTTACATTGTTCGTGACAGGTAAGGGACTTTCACTCTTTTTATACAAAGTTCTGAGACTTAAATCTACCAAGCTATTTGGGGTCTCTTTGGCTCCTGGGTCATCTTAGAGGCTTCTCCCTTCACACTTTTTTTTTTTTTTTTGAAACAAGGTCTCCCGTTTGTCACCCAGGCTGGGGTGCAGTGATGCGATCTTGGCTCATTGCAGCCTTGACTTCCTTGGGCTCAAGCGAACCTCCCGCCTCAGCCACCTATGTAGTTGGAACTACAGGTGGGCACCACCACACCCGTGAATTTTTGTATTTTTTGTAGAGTGGGGTTTTGCCATGTTACCTAGGGTGGTCTCCAACTCCTGGCCTCAACTGATCTGCCTGCCCCAGCCTCCCAAAGTTCTGGGACTACAAGCCTGAGCCACCTTGCCTGGCCCCTTCACATTTTAAAATTCCGGCCATGCTTGCCTACCTTCAGTTTCCACAGGAGGTTTTGCTTTATTATGCTAGCATCTACTTGAAACTCCTGGAAGCCTCTCCCACCACACCTTTTCTCCAGGTACCTCGTGCTCATTCTTCAGCCTTCTGGGAAAGGTCTCTCTGCCTCTGAAAGGCATTCTATGATGCTTCAGCATAGATTGGATACCTCTCCTGGACGTTCTGGTAATCCAGTGTAGCACTTGTTTTTCTGTGCTGTGACTGCCTTTTGTGTGTGTTCTCCATCAGATTAAACACCTTGAGAGTCCCTGCTGTGTCTCCTTTGATTCCCAGGGTCTGCTGTGGTTCCTATCCCACAGTCAGGGTGCAGTAGACATCGTTCATTCCGGTATTTGAGTTCTTACTGGATCGCCCTGGTAGTGTGGGCCCAAGTATGGAAAAACGTGAAGTGGATAGAGTAGATGGTGATTCACGCTGGAGCTGTAATTCTGGGCCTGACCTTTGACTGTCTTTAAAAATCTTTATTGCTAGATGCCAGTGGAAGCTGAAACTATTACAGAACTATTAAGGGTGTGGCAATTATGCACCCCAAGTCAGAACATCTGTTTTTGCTGGGAAACCTGTCGCTTATTTGCTGTTGATTTCCTAGATCTGTGTGTGTGTGTGTGTGTGTGTGTTTTCTACTTGAGTAATCAGAAAGGACTAAGGAAGATAAACGGAGGTAGGAGAGTGCCTAGAATTGTTACTGTATGGAAGTAGGTGGTTGGTTGGCCCCAGAATCAGGATTCTGGGTGTTTTTAGGTCAAGATGAAGGCTAGAAAGCAAAGGGGTTTTTTGTTTTTGCCCCTGTGATCTAGGTGGAGAAGGACATTATATATGTGAATATCATGCCCGTTGTGTTTTGGTTTATCAATTCGTGGAATTGTAGGTGGTATCTTGCTGTGAGATATTCTCCTCAGAAGGGAGACCTTTGAGTAATTTCACTGTCAGGTTCCAGGGGAGGGACATGTGGAGAATTAGTAATGCCTGGAAGGAATGAGTTCTCATGATGCAATTTGTTTACAGTGGGTGGATAAGTCTATTTGAGAAGATGGCCTGAAACTCACAGGGGCAAGGCTTATGTGGTGGTCTCATGGTGTGAGTGTCCCAGAGAAGTAGGATGGTTCTTTCAGTCCACCTGCCTTTTGTTGATTCATGCATTCAGCAGACACTTGTTGAGCCTACACTGTGTGCTGTTATCCAAGGTATTAAAGAATCGAAGGTGAATACCGCATTGTTTCTGCCCTGAGGGAGCGCAGGAGATATGTGGAAGAGATAGGCAAGCAAAAAATAATTATATACATGAGATAAGTGCTTAAGAGGGATGGCTAATGCACAGAGCAAAACCCAGCTGTCATTGGGTTAAGGGAGGTAACAAAAGGTAACAAAAGCTTCCCAGAGGAGAAAATTTGAGCACCTTTCTCTGCCTGCCTTTTCACCCTTATTTCAAATATCTCTTGTATTGATTAGGTCTCTTTTGGTTGTAAGAAAACCCAATTCATAGCAAAGACAGGAATTGATTGGCTCATAAGTGGCTCAAAAGTAGTGTGGCTGCAGATTTGGCTTGTTCTGGAGGTTTCACTCTTTTTTTTTTTTTTTGAGATGGAGTCTGGCTCTGTCACCTAGACTGGAGTATAGTGGCGTGGCTCACTGCAACATCCACCTCCCAGGTTCAAGCAATTCTCCCGTCTCAGCCTCTGAAGTCGCTGGGACTACAGGCCTGTGCCACCATGACCAGCTGATTTTTGTATGTTCAGTAGAGACGGGGTTTTGCCATGTTGGCCAGGCTTGGCCTCCCAAAGTGCTGGGATTACAGGCACGAGCCACCACGCCCGGCCTCGGTTCCACTCTTTAGGGAGTCTGGGAGACTCCCACATCTTCCAGGTCTCAGAGGGAAAGAATACTCATCTCCCAGTCACTGCGGCCCAAGTCCCAGGATTGGCTCTGGATGCTTCTGGGTCACATGCCTTTCCCCAGAAATGGACTGGTGTCAGCGCACCCAAACCATATGGACTGAGAGTGGATGGTAATGGGTAGTAATCAGGCAAGAGATAAAGGTCATGGTGTGTCTTTTGTAGTCCTGCTAAAAAGAGAGAGGTTTTGTTTCTTGAAAACCCTTAGATGCAGATAATCACAGATGGTGTTTTGGGGGAGATGATGTCTTAAGTAGAGGAAGAAGTACACTGGGATGAAGATCTTGAAGTTACAGAAGTGTCAAGGAGAAAAGGAATTTGAGAGACAACTAGGAGATCATAGTACCGAGGCTGTGATAGGGAGTGTCTCCTTGGGTGTTTATTTCTTTGGTGACTGAAGTTTCCCCTGGAGGTCTGAATGCTTTCACAGATAGTTGTTTTTTGATAACCCAAGGTTATAAACCCAAATGCCTAGAGGGCAAGGCCAGTGAAATGAATCAGTGACTTGGGCCATGTGAGGGCCACAGGGGACCTGGAGGACTGTGTCCCACCAAAGGGGCTGCATGGGAATGTAGGTCCAGTGTGGGCCACCTTTGGAGTTTTCCTGAAATCTGCATTTTAACTAGCTGGCATTTAATCCAAATGCAACTGCAAAGACACTATGTGCAGCTGAACAAAATTCTTCTGTGGATCACCCAACTGCTCGTCTAGGAGGACTCAGAAATTGACAGTCCCTCTTTTTCTTTTATTTCCCCTGTACCTTACCCTGATATTACATTTTCACTTCTTTGGATTTGTTGAAAAACAGCTCAGCCTTTACTGAAATCTCGAAAGGGTCTGATAGTAACAGTCATCAACATTGCTATGGTGGTTTAGTGTATAAAGTGCTGTGCTAAACCGCCTGGCTTGGATCTCGGTCTCCTGACAATGATCACTTCTCTCTTACAAAGATGGAAACCTGGCCGGGTGGGGTGGGGTGGCTCACACCTGTAATCCTGACACTTTGAGAACCCGAGATGGGAGGATCACTTGAGCCCAGGAATTTCAGACCAGCCTGAGCAACATGGTGAAACCCAGTGTCTACAAAAAATACAGAAAACTAGCCAGGAGTGGTGGTGTGTGCCTGTCTCAGCTACTTGGGAGGCTGAGGTGGGACGATTAACTGAGCCTGGGAAGTTGAGGCTGCAGTGAGCTGAGATCACACCACTGCACTCCAGTCTGGGTGACAGAGCA